GACCATCCACTTGCCTCCCGCTATGGACATGTTTGGAGTGGTTTTTCGGAGAAAATGCGAACTTGGGCGCTGGAGCTCGAGTGCGCGAGAATGGATGGGCAGGGAAGAAGAAGGTGTGGGTGAAAAGGAGGAGTCATTGTCCCTTTATAAGGGCGGAAGAAACTATGCGCCTCCCCACCTGCCTGGTAAACTCGCTTATTCCCCAAGCACCGTGATTGATGGTGCGGTTGGGTTACCCACACCCGTATTGATGAGAATCCCGTGATAAGGGGACACGATCTCTGCTTCGACAAGACGTGCCAAGAAAACCGCCTCGCAATATGTGCAGTAGCTGGTTGAGAAAAACGGTTCAAATAATGACCGGGCCATGGAGTGATGTCACATTATGAAAAGTTGTCAGCAGATTAGATTTGTGGAGATATTATACTCTCTACGGTGGTATGTGGAATTTGTTTTGCAGAGCCGGACACTATCCTTGTGTTCGAAATCTTCTATGGAGTATTCGGAGGAGGAACCCGCCTTGCAATGCCGAAGAAAATCTGCGCGCCGGACTCATCGTCATTGAAGCCGGGTTCAGGGGCTACTGAGGGAGTCCTGGATTAGTGGGTCCTCGGACTGCCGGACTATATACTTTGGTCGGACTGTTGGACTATGAAGATACAAGATTGAAGACTTTGTCCCGTGTCCGGGTGGGACTCTCCTTTGCGTGGAAGGCAAGCTTGGCAATTCGGATATGTAGATCTCCTCCCATGTAACCGACTCTGTGTAACCCTAGCCCCCTCCGGTGTCTATATAAACCGGAGGGTTTAGTCCGTAGGACAACAACAATCATAATCATAGGCTAGCTTCTAGGGTTTAGCCTCTACGATCTCGTGGTAGATCAACTCTTGTAATACTCATATCATCAAGATCAATCAAGCAGGAAGTAGGGTATTACCTCCATCGAGAGGGCCCGAACCTGGGTAAACATTGTGTCCCCCACCTCCTGTTACCACCCCCTTAGACGCACAGTTCGGGACCCCCTACCTGAGATCCGCCGATTTTGACACCGACACACTTGTCAGCAAGGATGAACAGCTCCAACGTCGTGCTCAGGTCATTGTCGATGGCTAGCTTCTCGCACATGTGGATGTCCTTGACTCCACTGGTGAACGCCGTGATGATGGCCTCGCCCGAGGCGCGCGGAATCTTGTGGCGCACCTGGCTGAAGCGCTGAATGTACTGGCGGAGTGTTTCATCGGGGCGCTGCTTCACCCGCCGCAGCTCGTTCATGGTGAGGGCGCGGTCGTAGGTGCCCTTGAAGTTGGCGATGAACAACTCACCCCACAAAGAGATGGAGTCCTCGGGTAGGTTCATGAACCAGGAGAAGGCGCCGTCCTTGAGGACCATGGGGAACCAATTCGTCATGACCTTGTCATCACACTCTACGCGCTGAGCATCGAGGCGGAGTGGTGGTGGGCGTCGCGCTCTGCGGGCGCGGTCTAGGCGACATGCGATGCCCTGCGCTCGACACGAACACGATGGGCGTCGGCCATGGAGTTGGTGTAGCTGAAACTGGAGCGGAGTGGAAGAAGAGAGGCAGGCCCCCTACCTGGCACGCCAAATGTCAGAATCGGGGCTCCACTGACCCAAGGAAGGTTCGAACTCAGGGGCGTGCTCGCTGCTCCTCACCTCGCCCTATCAGCTACACACATCCCCACGTCCAAGATCTACCAAGATCCCAGCGCAAAGGAAGGACAAAGAATAGGGTAGTTTACCCAGGTTCGGGCCACCTTGCGGTGTAAAACCCTACTCCTGCTTTGTGGTTGCATTGCCTCGTGAGGGAGGATGATTGTGAGTACAAGTCGCCTCGGGAGGCTTCAGGAGCGGCTCCGGGCTTGAGGGGTGGATGAACTCGATCGGGGACCTTGCTAAGGTGATGGTCTAGCTCTACTTATGCTGACCCGATCCTCTTCCCCCAAAACACTTGGCGGGAAGGGTTGCCACAATGGCCAATTTTGAAGGGGAACATGAGTACATCTTATCTTGACAAAAGATGGTCTTCGCCTGCCAAAGCTTCTGGCCATGACGCGCAAGTGGGCTCGGCGATGACCTCCGTCTGGATGAGTCCATCATCCTTGTCTTGTTGCACCGAAGAGGTAACCTTTGGGGCCGCCTAGGGAACCCGCGTGATGGCCTTGTTCATTTAGCACCAAAGAGGAAAGCCACACCATCCGTGCCCGCTGGCACAGGTCTCGACGGCGCTCGTCATGGCTCGTGTCACCCACATGCCGCGCGAGGCATGGCTTGGCGACCTCGGTGCATCCGCCTGTGAGGGGGCCTCGGGAGACGACTTTAGGGGTCTGCCCCATGCGAGGGCCTCATGAGGTCCTTGGTGATGTGCGCCTCGCGAGGGTCCTCCTTGAGGAGCCTGGGAGATGGGCCGTATTGGGCCTTTCACCACGCGCTGCGTTCTGGGCCGCAGGTAGACGGGCTAGGTACCCCCAGTCCCAGAGTCCTGACACATCTGACACGAAGGGTGTCGAGGCCTCCCACCCCCTACCGTCGCGATGTGCAGGCTCGTGTTTTCATGGCCCGAGGTCATGCGCGGCTTGTGTCTTCGCTGTTTGAGGTTCTCCAGTGGTTGAGCAATCTTTTTTAAACCCAGAGCTTGTAGAAGCAGCGGGCGGAAAGTCGTGGATGCACACCAAGAGACGCTACGGCTATGATGTGCGAAGAAAATTGTCGCCCCGGAGAAGAAAATGTCGATAAGGGCTTGTAGAAACTCCAAATATCACAGAAGTTGGTCGAATCCTGACAAATTCACCAGAAACCTAAACCGGCCAGATCCCGAAAGACCCAACGGACACACAACTCCACACACCCTTCATTGGTGATAATCTCACCCACTAAACGAGAATAGGGTGAGGAGAACATTATTCCTACATTGTGGAGGTGTCACCATCTCTTTGTCTCAAACCAAACACGAAGACACTCTGAAAAAACCCTAAGAGAAATTGTCCGTGCCGTTGCACACAAGTCTGAACCTCAGGTCGAGCTCGTTGTCGTTCAGGAGCATGCACCGACGCCCTCTTTTTTGATGACCTAGTTAGGCCAGGCCGTCGTTGAAAAATACAACACTAGATCTCTTCGGTTGCCGCCGGTTTTACCGCCGAGCATAATCTTATGAAGACCTCCACTCAAGCCCTCGTCTCCCTCACCGTCTACAGTAGCACTCCAACACCTCAACAGTCTCATGACATCAGCCCCTCCCCGTTGGAAGCCGCGCGGGCTTTGCCCGACGACGCACCCTGACGTCATCGGCAAGACGGGTAGATAGCCGAGCCGCGGCCTCACGCATGCCCGCGTCATGCCGTGTCGCTGCTGCCGCACCAGCGTGCCCGTCCGTTCTGTTTCACACCCGTCCACCCATCGATGACACACCGGCGGTCGACGAGATTAGCACCGGCATAGATCCACTCCGAATCATCCATGCAAACAATCATGGGGCCACACGCACGCGCGGCAAGGGGCATGGAGTGGAACCGAAGGGACCTCCCTCGCGCCTCTGTCGCCACGCTGTTGCGCGGCCGATCGACAAATCACGTATGCCTAGACTAAGGCTAGGCTAGCAATTCGGCTTATTTTTAGTCGACGGAAGCCACCGCACTAGGCGCGTTCACCAGCTAATGCTAGTGACTGACCTTTGTGCATTCTACACTTCCACTGCCACCAGCAGGATAGCTTAGGTTATAGCTTGTGCAGCAATAAAGTGGCGAGCGGCCGGCACAGAGGTGGCCACGTTAGCTTTGCCGTCCGTCCCCAAAATTGAACAACCCTTTTCATCAGAAAAATTGCAACCATTTGAATTTCTCGAAATTGAAATACAGGAATCAACAGCCCCCGAATTAAGGTAAGGTATAATAAGAGTAGTGACATCTGTATGGCTGCTGGTTTCATCGCAAAAAGAGAAGTGTGGTTGCCGGTGGGTTTTGGTTAGGAGCTCGGCCCGCGAAGCGGCTGTCGCGGTCGAACCCGTCGCCTACTTGATGATGGATGGATGGATGGGCGTCTTGATGGGGGGAACATCAAAGCAGGCGAGCTCCAAGGAGTAAAGTTTGGGGGATTCAGGTCCCATCACATCCAGTAGTTGGTGTAATTGGTGAGGACCTGCATAATTGTAGATGCTCTCTCCACATATACAAATACAATTCATCTAACTACGGAGAAAATGTCGTAGTTGGCAACTGGGTGTACATCAGCGAAATTCTTGCTTATCGAGCCCACTACAATATAGTATAGTTGTAGTATAATCGACAGAATCAGAATCCTCGTTTGCAATTTTGTATACACGCGAGGATGAACTGTTTGACTGTTCCGCACAAGTATATTGTACTCTACGTGATTAAGTGAACATCATTGAAATTATGGATCTTATTCCAACCGTAAAAATAGAACAGTCTCTGTACTGACGTCTTAACGTACAGATTGCTTTGGCGACATCAATAGAGACAATGAGGCATGAATTGTTTTGTACGTATGCGTATCAATACTATTAGTACAACGTCACAGTATTAAAATCAACTAATAACGCCGCCATCCAGAGCTTTGCCCAAAAGGACACGCTCGAACAAAACAAAGAGGTTACACCATACATGAATTCACCAAAACTACCAATCAACATACAAAATTCTCTCCCATACAATCATTAAAATGGGCAGTTCTATCCTACCCTGAGATTGATGAAAACAAAAAGATCAGAACGAACAGAAGAACAGCAGTTCTTTCTGACTAGTGTGCAAGCAAACAGAGAACCTACAAAATAGTACGTATATCTTCTCCGATCTCTATTGTTGAGATGGTGTGGTTTTTACATTTACCTTAGCCAAGCAGATCCTAATTTAGTACTATATATAAGCACACCAATTTTATTTCTAATAACACTACCAAGGTTATGCAATACTATTATGCACACAAAAGCAGAAAAATTGACGGGGTAGAGAGAGAGGCCAAGAAACGCATTAGAATGGGGGATAACTTCGCCGTAACCCACTGACGTTGGCGAACAACCCGACAAGCTCTTGCTTGTATGGGAGGTAAGATCTCCTCCGGCCAGCGCCGCCGCTTCCTCCTCCTCCTCCTCCTTTGCTGTAATAACTCCATCCGTGGGCATCGGCGGCGCCGCCACCGTCGCTCCTGCTGCTTCCTTCCTCCACGTCCCCCTGCTTGGGAGGCCCTGAAGTGGCGTTCAAAAAGACGAACTTCTCCTTGCCGTCGCTGTGGCTCCGCCCCACGAGGCGCTCACTGATGCGCCGCCACCGGAGGACCGACCCCGTTGAGCCGCTCTTCCGGCACCGCCGCGGGGACGCCGGAGTGGACTGTCCGGGGGCCCAGAGGCAGTAGCTCTCCGGCGCCACGCCCTCCAGCTCGCCGTCCCCGAAGCTCTCTTCGTCCCTCTGCCTCGCGCGGAAGTCGCGCTCCTCCAGCAGGAGCTGCCCCAGCGGGACTCGCACGGTGGCCGTCTCCTGCTCGTCGACCGAGGCCGCCGCCGGCGGGGACGGGGGGCGGCCGAAGATGGGGTACACGGGCACGATGAGCGCGTCCGCCGCGAACGGTAGGACGGGGAAGGTGAAGCCGCCTCCGTCTTCGTCTCCCTCCTCGTCGGCGTCGACGATGCGGTGTGGAGATTCAGGAAGGTTCTCAGCGGGGCCGTGGTCTCTGTCCTCCATGGCTCTCTCTCCTCGCCTTTTGCGGGTTGAAGGATAGATATTTGATCGGTTGCCTTTATGTGTGGCTTCCTTCCTTTTGCTTGGCTGGGTCGGGTTCCTTTTTTCGGCCTGAGCCGGTGGCGGCGGCAAGTGAACACAGAGCGGTGTGAAAGATAACTCCTTCAAGCTGACAGATGGGCCTTATTGCGTTCTGGGTACCACAGGTCAGTGCCCAGGAGCTGAAGTGATGGTTCAGGCGTAGCTTTGATCCGGCGCGTTTGGTTTGCGCCGTGAGAAACGTGTCAGTGCGCGGTAAAGTGTGCGTGAGTTGCTGCTCAGGCTAGAAGTCCCAAGAAACACGAACTAAATGAGGACAAAAAGGAGCTAAATGGGGCCAAAGGAGCGCTCAGTTCCCAAAAAAGTGAGCGCTCAGGCTAGGGTTTGGCCCCTCTTATTATTGAGTTGTACTTTGTGTTATATATATTACGTGTTGTGGCTCATCTTCTAGTTATGTATAGTTAAAATTGAGATATATCATGTACGTATATATACGTGCATCTGCACCATCAATACAATGATTATTATATTGCAAAATATCTCTCTACATGGTCAGTTTTTTAGGTTTTACTCCCCGCCGTCGCCGCCGTCGCGCGCTCCTCCCGTGCCGTCGTTGTCGCCGCCACACCCCCCCCCCGCCGCCGCGCTCCTCCCATACCACCACCCTGCCGCCGTCGCGCGATCCTCCCACACCGCCGCCGCCGCCGCGCGATCCTCCCGCATCGCCGCCGTCACCGTCCACGCGTCTCTCGCGCCAGCCGCCGCTTCTACAGCTGCACGTCCGCACCTAATCGCCAGCCACCTACCTAGCCCGCCGCCGGATCACCCGAAGTTGTTGCTGCCGCCGAGCCGTGTCCACCAACTCCCGCGTCATTCGCCCGCGTCGCCCGCCCGCCGCCGCCCGACCCGATCGCTCGCGTCGCGAGCAGCGCCGACCGCTGCCCCTCTATCGTCGTCGGACCCGCGATGGCGTCCACCGGCCCGTCCGCCGCCGCCGCCGCCTTACGGCGTGGCTGCCGCCTACGACGCGTTCGACGTCGCCCCGCACTACCCGCGGGCTCTTCCTACAGGCCACCAGGCGTTCATCGGCGAGCCTTACAAGCCGACTGGCGTCGGCTACGACGCCCTCCTTGCGCCGTCGCCCATCGGCAGTTATGGTCCACCCATCCCGGCACCGCCCTACGAGGGCCTCCCGCCGCCGTCTTCCCTCGGTGGTTATGGCCTGCCCGCCCCGGCGCCGCCCTACGAGGGCCTCCCGCCGCCTCCGGTACCTGTGTCATGGGACCCCACCCTCCTCGCCGCCCAGCACTTCACGTCATCGCAGAGTAGCTCAGTCGGTGGAGGTGACTGGTACATGGACTCGGGTGCTACTGCGCACATGACAGCCCATCCCGGTAACCTAACCTCTTCCACTCCAGTTCGCACACCCACTCGTATCACCGTCGACAATGTCTCCTCCTTACGTATTACTCATATCAGTAGCACTAGTTTTCCCTCCACTTCCACACCCATTACTATGTCTAATGTTCTTGTTTCCCCTGAATTAGTCACAAACCTAGTTTCCGTTTGTCGTCTTACTCGTGAGAACCCACTTGCTGTTGAATTTGACGGTGTTGGATTTTCTGTGAAAGACGCCCGTACCCGGATGATCCTTCACCGATGTGACAGTCCTGATAAGCTCTACCCAGTGCATGCCGGCACCTCCACCTCCACACCAGTCGCCCTTGCCGCCGGCGTTGACCTCTGGCATGCTCGCTTGGGCCACCCCAACCTCACTATGTTACGTCAAATTCTTAGGAGTTTCTCTTTCTCATGTAACAAGCTCGACGAGCACTCTTGTGAGGCATGTCGCTTAGGCAAGCACGTTCGTCTTCCCTTTAGTGCGTCTACTTCAGTGTCCACTTTTCCGTTTCAATTGCTTCATAGTGATGTTTGGACGTCTCCCGTTGCGAGTAACACGGGCTATCTATACTACTTGGTGATATTAGATGATTATTCTCATTATGTGTGGACTTTTCCACTTCCTCGTAAATCCGATGCTTTAGCCACACTCACCTCCTTTTATTCATATGTCACCACCCAGTTCGGCCGCCCCATACTCGCACTCCGAACTAATAACAGAAAAGAGTTCGACAACGTTGCTCTTCGCACACTTCTCGCCTCTCACGACACCATCTTCCGTCTGACTTGCCCTTACACTTCACAGCAGAACGGCCGCGCTGAGCACATTCTCCGCACTCTTAATGACTGCGTTCGCACGTTACTCTTTCACTCTAACGTTCCCGCTCGGCTTTGGCCCGATGCTCTCGCCACCGCCACTCTCTTAGTTAACATTCGTTCGTGTCATCCTCGGTGGAACTACGCCCCTCACCACCTTCTCTTTGGTACACCACCGTCCTATGATGGTCTCCGCATTTTGGGGTGTCTCTGTTATCCCAGTACCGCGTCCACCACGCCACACAAGCCCGCACCATGTTCCGTTCCATGCATCTTTCTTGGCTACCCTCCCAACACTAAAGGTTACCGGTGCTATGATCCTGTCACTCATCGTGTGTACACCTCGAGGCACGTGTATTTCATCAAGACGGTGTTCCCTTTTTCAGGTTCCTCCGGCTTCAGCCCCTTCGGCACCAGCCCCGCGCCCCCCCTGCCTGGAGCGATGCGTGGCGACAGCCCCCCCGGCACAACGCCTTCTGCCGCCACCACCCGGTTTTTCGACTCCCTTCCAGAGGTCGAGTTTGACAGGGCTCCTGGATCCCCATCTCCCTCCTACGAGGTTGAGCCGGTGGGCACTCCGCCCGCCACCCCGGTGACGGGCTCGACATCCTCCTCGCCCGTCGCCCCCTCGGCCGCTAGCTCGGCTGGCAGCACTGCCGCCGCGGCCCCCATCACCGACACCGCGACCCCTGTCGCCGCCATGAGTGCCCCCGCAGCCACCGGCGCCCCTGTCATGGCCGCGGCCCCTGCCGCCGCCGCGGCCCCCGCCACCATCGCCGGTCTTGCTGCCCCGCCACTTGGCGTGACTACCCATGCCCGAGCAGGATTGCTTCGGCCGAGCGCGCGCTACTCCTCCGGCAAGTATGGGTGCGCCGCCTCGACGTCAACACCATCACCCGTTCCCACCTCCGCTTATGCTGCCCTTTGGGATCTCCATTGGCTAGCTGCGATGCAGGAGGAGTTCGACGCCCTACAACGCAACCTGATACATCTCCAACGTATCTATAATTTTTGATTGTTCCATGCTATTATATTATCAACCTTGGATGTTTTATATGCATTTATATGCTATTTTATATGATTTTTGGGACTAACCTATTAACCTAGAGCCCAGTGCAAGTTTCTATTTATTTTTCTTGTTTTAGAGTATCGCAGAAAAGGAAAATCAAACGGAGTCCAATTGACCTAAAACTTCACAGAACTTATTTCTCGATCAGAAGAAGCCCACGGAGTATCGGAGATGGACCAGAAGAGTCCCGGGATGCCCACAAGGGTGGGGGGCGCGCCCCCTGCCTCATGGACTGCCCGGAGATCCACCGACGTACTTCTTCCTCCTATATATATATATCCATATACCCTAAAAACTTTGGGGAGCGGAATAGATCGGAAGTTCCGCCGCCAGAAGCCTCCGTAGCCACCGAAAACCAATCTAGACCTGTTCCGGCACCCTGCCGGAGGGGGGAATCCCTCTCCGGTGGCCATCTACATCATCCCGGCGCTCTCCATGACAAGGAGGGAGTAGTTCACCCTCGGGGCTGAGGGTATGTACCAGTAGCTATGTGTTTGATCTCTCTCTCTCTCTCTCTCTCTCTCTCTCTCTCGTGTTCTTGAGGTGTTACGATCTTGATATATCGCGAGCTTTGCTATTATAGTTGGATCTTATGATGTTTCTCCCCCTCTACTCTCTTGTAATGGATTGAGTTTTCCCTTTGAAGTTATCTTATCGGATTGAGTCTTTAAGGATTTGAGAACACTTGATGTATGTCTTGCGTGGGATACCCGTGGTGACAATGGGGTATTCTATTGACCCACTTGATGTATGTTTTGGTGATCAACTTGCGGGTTCCGCCCATGAACCTATGCATAGGGGTTGGCACACGTTTTCATCTTGACTCTCCGGTAGAAACTTTGGGGCACTCTTTGAAGTACTTTTGTGTTGGTTGAATAGATGAATCTGAGATTGTGTGATGCATATCGTATAATCATACCCACCGATACTTGAGGTGACATTGGAGTATCTAGGTGACATTAGGGTTTTGGTTGATTTGTGTCTTAAGGTGTTATTCTAGTACGAACTCTATGATAGATTGAACGGAAAGAATAGCTTCATGTTATTTTACTACGAACTCTTGAATAGATCGATCAGAAAGGATAACTTTGAGGTGGTTTCGTACCCTACCATAATCTCTTTGTTTGTTCTCAGCTATTAGTGACTTTGGAGTGACTCTTTATTGCATGTTGAGGGATAGTTATGTGATCTCATTATGTTATTATTGTTGAGAGAACTTGCACTAGTGAAAGTATGAACCCTAGGCCTTATTTCCTAGCATTGCAATACCATTTATGCTCACTTTTATCATTAGTAACCTTGCTGTTTTTATATTTTTAGATTACAAAAACCATTATCTACTATCCAGATTGCACTTGTATCACCATATCTTCGCCAAACTAGTGCACCTATATAATTTACCATTGTATTGGGTGTGTTGGGGACACAAGAGACTCTTTGTTATTTGGTTGCAGGGTTGCTTGAGAGCGACCATCTTCATCCTATGCCTCCCACGGATTGATAAACCTTAGGTCATCCACTTGAGGGAAATTTGCTACTGTCCTACAAACCTCTGCACTCGGAGGCCCAACAACGTCTACAAGAAGAAGGTTGTGTAGTAGACATCACAACCGCACGTGGCAGCTTGTTCCACGACCCCCTCATGCCAATATCATCACTGGCAAGTGGGTGTTTCGCC